GTGGGAGAAAGTGGGCTCTGACGTCATAGATTTGGTCTCATCTGGATGCAGAGACCTCTGTGAGAGGAGAGATTTGGGGGGCGATGAGGGAGGGATTCAGGGATTCTTCTGTGGCTTTATGTTTTCACTGAAGTGGGTAAAAGAGCAGGGGATGGGGGCATTGAGAGTTTATAAAGACCAGGGAGTGGGAGTGTGGCCAGACGCCTGGGACTACAGTGCAGAGCACAAGGAGAAGCCATACAGCATGTTTTCCTGTAGCCACGTTGGCTTCCAGGGTACAAGCTGCTGTGGGATGAGCAGAAAGCTGAACTTTCAGGAGCATGGCGAGAGGGGCTGGGCTGGGTTTTAGATAGGAGGCAGGACTGTCAAGACAGCCTGGAGAGTTCATGCTGGAAGAGGGACAGCGAGAAGGGAAAGGCTCTGAGATGCAAGAAGTCATTGGGAGATGGGGTCCAGACACCAGCTGCAGCTTTGATTTAGGTAAATCCTCACTCAAGCATCTTGTGGGGCTCCTAGCAGTGGGGGCAGGGGCTGTCTCCAACTCTTTCACAGGCTCTTGGGGCCCTACTCTTCATACCAGGTTGTCTTGTCCAGTCTTAACATATGGTGATGTGCCTAGTCTTATTGCAACTTGAGATGCCATGTTTTGTTGCTACTTATGGGAGACCTGCCCTTTCCTAAACAGAAACGAAGGAGTGGGTGGGGGAGGGGATAAAGAGAGTATAGGGGGAAGGAGCGGGACTGGGGGGGAGAGAAGGGAGGGGATAGTGCAGCCAGGATATTAAATAAACAAATAAAATTATTTAAAATATGTACAAGGGCTAAGGGAGACTAAGTTACTCCCTTTACTCCATTTCCAAGTCATAAATCCTTTCTAGAGACACATTAAAAAAAAAGAACTGCCACCTGTTTTGAGGTATTGACTCATTTTTACAAAGCATGCCTAGGGCCCACCCAACAAGCCCATTTTACAGACAGGATAAATGAGACTCAACAAGGAGAAAGGCTTTCCATTGTACGTGTCTACAGCATGCTGAAGGGACCGCTCCTGTAGTTCCAAGCCCCCATCCTGGTTTACTTTTTTTAATACAGATAGTTGTGTGAGCCCCCTCGTGTGGGTGCTGGGAACTAAGAGCAGACTGTACTTGTTCTTAACCACTGAGCCATCCCTCCAGCCCCCACCCTTGATTTATACTTTCTCACCAAGAGACCTCTCATCCTCACCAACTTTCAGGTGAAACTGGCAATTTAACAGAGTTCAGCAACCTGGCGGGCGGGGTGGGCGTGGGTTCTGGATCATGGATCATGACCTCCTTCCTACTAAGGCTAAGGATGCTCGTTTTGCCTGTAATGTCCCCATGTGCAGCTGGGATCAGGCCCTGTTGTCCTTGAGTTCCTAACTTACAAAGTGGAGCATCCTTCAGGCAAGCTTTCTTCTCCCCCCCTTTCCAGTGGGAACCCTGCTTGCATCTATAATTTGATCACCATTAGCACACCACTTTCAGAGCACTTTGGGGATTTTAAAGTGACTGCTCTAATTGCCCCAGATCAGCCCCTGAATACTTTTTTTAAAAATGCTAATAGTCATATGTTCCACTGAGAATTTGAAAAAGAAAATGAAATCGTACTTTTATGAAAATTATTCACTGTCACCCTAAAAAACGCATTCCATTTGAGATGTCATTCCAGCTGTGAAGGTAAGGCTGGGGGGCGGGGTCTGGGAGTAGGTGGGGCCAGACCTGCAACAGAACAGCTGAGGGGCTGTTTCCCAGGTGGCATGTGCTCCTGAGCAAGCCAGGCCTGCTGGGCCCCACTTCAGATAAAAGACTTGGCCCTGAGCCACACTTGATAAAATCAGCCCTTTAGTAAAGACCTGCAAAGAGATACAGAAGGGAGATCTATTTTCCTCCATAGCTTTTCCAGTCTGTTTTACAAACAGCCTCAAGATACCAACCCAGGAGGCAAAGCCCTTCCCACCTCAGCCCTTGGCTGCCAGAGACTGAAACTGAAGTCTGAGAGTGCGTGTGGTCTCATGGGTCTCACCATCCCCTGCAGAATGGGGGCCCAGGCATAGTTATCAGAGCCCTTTGGGATGTAGGTGACACAGAAGGCTCCAGAAGAACAGGAATGCCACCAGAAACTGACCTGCCTGTGGTAAGAACAAACAAGGCCAAAATCAACAATCAATGCACAAGCTGCCAGCTGTGCCCCCATCCCCACCCACCCCTGATCTGTGTTGGGCTCTTGGCAGCCCTTGTTACGTGGTCACCCTCACTCTGCCCTGGTTTGCCTAGTTCAGGTCCAGCCAGGCATCTGGCCTGGGGCTTCTCTCCACTTTACAGATCCGCCTTTTCCTGTTCCCTTATGCACTGTCTGTAGGATCTCAACCCCCTTCCTGGTCCCCATGCACCGCTGATAAGAGCCCAGCCCTTCCCTGCTATACATCCCTGTAAGATGCTCCCACCACCCTGCTTTTTCTCTGGTCCCTGTGTCTGGCATAGCTGAGCAGACCCAGAGTCTGGACACACGGGAGCTGGGAGGCAGACGGAGCGGGGCTCAGGAAAGCAAGGTGGAGGGTTCTGGTAAGGATCATCCTCACCCAGTCTTGAGTCTGTAAGGAAGTCACTGGCCTCTTTGGGCCTGGGTTTCTCCATCTACAAAGAAATGAAGAGTTTGGAATATAGTCCCATCGGTACTATCCTGTATAAGAGTCTGCTTGGAGTGGCTGTGCACCAGGATCTGCAGGGGACAGTTTTAAAGGCACTAATAACCACCACCACTACCCCCTCAGAAAAAAGGAAAAGGAAAAAAAAAGAATTCAGAACCTCGGGGGGGGGGGGGGCAAAACCATGCATTTGAAATTGCTATTCCATCCCACTGCTTGGATGAATTAGTGGGAAACAGATTCAAGGGAGCACTCTGTCTGGGTCTCATCTTGGAGATAAGAGTCCATCTTCAAGCCAGTATTCTGGAGTTCCTGGGCCAGAACCACTTTTATGCAGAACTGGTGGGAGTAGGAGGAGAGCATGTGTGAGCTGCCCTTTGCAGGGGCCACCTCCTACCTCTTCTCAGTAGCCCAACTGTGACCCAAGCTGGGATCCAATCTATCTGCACCCATTTAGTTTTCCATCAGTCACCAGCCAACAGTGGCTTGCCCGCAGGCACCCTGACAGACAGCTCAGAGCACCTGGACTGTATTACCAAAATGGTAGGTTGGAGAATGATAGCTCCATTGTAAAAGAAAAAGAAGAAATTGTGTAAGGACTGAGAGCCCGCTAGACCTTGCCCACCAGTTTTGCTTGCTAAAGGGAGGCAAGTGAAGGGGAGAGGAGAGTAGGCCAGTACTGGACAAGGGCCCCTCCAGACCTGGGAGGAAAGTCCCCAGCATGTGTGCTGGGACAAGCGCCTCTCTAGACCTGGGAGGAAAGTCCCCAGGCAGAGCTGATTTTGCAGTCTGGCTCAGCCTGCTGGCCCTGAGCAAGGATTGCTTACTGGAAGCCACCTGGTTGGACCAGGCATTCTCACCTGAGTCTAGAAAGATCTAGAACCCACAGCAGGCACTCTTCTACCTCCCTAAGAAACCCCAACTCCAGGAGACCTGTATTTGTCCTGGCTGCTCCCTGTTCCCGATAGTGCAGGGGAAACTAACGCTTTGTTGTTTTTCTGTGCATCCAGATATGATGAAGTAGAAATGTTCTTTGTTTTCTGTATTGCTTTGTTTTATTCCCAAAGTCAACTTGGCCTGGTGACCCAGCCAACAGCAGAACAGAGTTCAAACCTTAGTTTTTCCTCCTAGTACTGGCATAACCTCTTATCAGACAGACCCTATCTCCTTCATCTCCAACGCCAGGATAGAATGCAGCCCAGCTCTGAGGTTGCACAGAGCCAGGGGCTAACTACACAGTCCCCATCCCCACAGCCAGCACCAACAAAGATGAGAAATACTCCCTCCCCAGCAGCTGTTCTAGACCTGAGCGTGCCTCTCTGGTTCTCCTTTGCTTTCTTCACAGGTACAGTGACTATTCGGCAAACAGGTGCTGAAGCCACAGCAAAGGGTCTGGAAGTGAAGGTCTAGGCTTGCTCCCCCCTGGAACCATCAGAGTTAGCACACAAAGCTGCCCTCCTGTCCTTGATGAACACTGGCCATTCTGTGGCCATTTCCTGCTCACAAACACCCAGCTCCAAACACATTTCCCTGGAACAATAGGAGGAAATGAGAGGGAACTGGGAACTCAGCCTGAATACTGCTGAATGGTTCAGAAGCCTGCGTGCAGGATGCTGGTGGCGTGAAACAGGGAGAAGGGAGAGGGTTAGCCTGACCGTGAAGGACAGCAGGAAATGGTGCGCTCTCTCTGGGATGTGTGCAATTCGTGTGTCTGTAGGCATGTGTGTGGGTGATGTTTACGTTATACGGTGTGATATGCATATGATGCGTATGTCTGATTTGTGTGTGAATGGTTACGTATCTATGGTGTGTGGGCATGTGTGTGGTGTCTGTGTGGCATTTGGTACGTATGTGGTGTGCAGTCTTTATGTGCTGTTGTGTGGCTGCGTATGTGGTAGACAGGTGGGAGGAATACTGCCTGTCAGTGATGAGCCCTGTCTCTTCCAAGCTCTACAGCAGAAGTAGCCCTGGAGCAGGACAATGGGGTTGTGAATGTGGTGGAAAGTAGAGTGCAGGGTTGAAGAATGCTCTCAGGGAAGCCAGAGTTTGCTTCTGCTGCAGAGGAGAGTGGGCTTTGAGAAATGGTCACTGCTAGAGTAAGAGCTGGTGAAGTCAGGAAATGCTGCCCAGCAGAACAGACCCCTATGATGGAGTCCTGGAGGCAGGGCCCAAGCATTTGCTGAAGGTCAGGAGCAGTGCAGAAGGCCAGGGGGTGTGCATATTCAAAGGCTGTCAGAGATCAGGTGGAATAGGTCATCTCCGAGATGCCATCTCTCTCTGAGTCTCTGTCTCTGTCTGCACCTCCATCTTCCCCTCTCTTTTCCCTGAATCACAGGTCCTCTCCAGCTTTCTATCCACGACAACAAACTTGATCCTGAAGAGTCCAAGCACATCACTTGCTGCAGTCCTCCCTTCAACTAGCATCGATGAGATGATGCCATTGTAAGCCTGGCACTGGAAGGCAAGGAGACCACATGCACTTACTTTGAATTTCTAGTTCTCTAAAGAAAGAAATTGAATGGTGCTAATCCAAAGGGCTTCTGGCCTTGGATTCCATCACTCTGGTCCAATCAGTTGCAGAAGGAAGTCACATCATGTGACTTCAGACCATCAGTGGAGCTGTAAGCAAGCAAAATCTGAAGTGCTATCCTCAGAATATGGCCATGTCTATTCCTTGATATGCCAGCTTATTGATAGGCAGAGCTGTGACAGTCACTCTACATCCTGCAAAGTCAAAGTTTCCTGAAAGACTCATAAAAGCCACAAAAATCCTACTGAAATGTAAGGAGTTCTAATGTCCTTCCTCCTGGTGTGACTTCACGAGACTCTGCATGTTGTTTTCCATGATGACAAACATCCTGTACAGGCCATTTACAAACATGAAATGATCTGGTCTGTCCACATCCTGATGGCTGGAGCTTCGTCACATGAGCACAACAGCAGGAGCCATGTGCCTGATGCCGTACCAGCACATCATCTCCATAGCCTCGATGTCGCCATAACTTTACTCAACCTTCCAGCAGCCTAATGACTCAACTCTGTTGTTACCCAATTTCACCGAGACCACAGCTAAACAAGGGCTTCCCAGTAGGAGAGAGAACCAGGGCAGAAACCAGGCAGGCCACACCAGCCTCCTACCCTTCTTCCCTGGACTGAGAACTGTGTGCCAATCATATATTTAAGTCATTCACCCAGGTAACATCTGAATCCATAATCCATGAAGACTATGGTGGCTGTTTTGCAGAGAAGGAAGAGTGGTGAGCAGAACATAACCCTTGCTTGTTGAGACACCATCTGGGGGAGACATGATGCAGAGAAATGCTTAAATGGGATGTGGAAGAAAACAGTTTCACACAGATGTTCTAGCTGAGGGCTATGCCTAAAAAAACAGATGAACAATCAGGAAAGTTGAAGCCAAAAAGATGTCTTAGACAGTATCTGCTAACCACTGCTAGAGTAGACAGCCAGCTATCACTGAACCCATCTCTTCTGTCAATGAACTACCTCTCCCAGCAGCATTGGGGAGGTGTGGGTAACCAGATGACTTTGTTCTCATTGGAGAAAGCAATTGAGACAGACACTTTGCTGCCCACCTGGCTCATCAAAACGGTCCACAGGGCTCCCATGCCCTTTCCTTTCCAGCTCATAAGAACAGAAAAGCCCCATGAGAACCCAGAGGCTGTCGAAGATGGCACTGAAAATAACAGAGACTTACAGAAGGAGCTAGGATAAGCCAATAATGTCTTGGTGGACAACTGTTAGGATGGCTTATAGATTTCTACAAGAATGAGAACAAAGCCAGGCATGGCGATGCATGCCTTTAATCTCAGCACTTGGGAGGCAGAGGCAGGTGGATCTCTGAGTGTGAGGCCAACCTGGTCTACAGAGTGAGTTTCAGGAATAGTCAGGTGCCCACAGAGAAAGCCTGTCTCAAAAAACCAAATACCAAGCAAGAATGAGAACAAATGTTGACCTGTTGAACGGATGAGATTTTGAGTGCTGTGTTTTAAGAAGCTAGCACTTCCTAACCCAACCACTTTTCAACTTTGGGTCATGCTAAAATCAAATATGGGGTTTATTAGACATCAAGATCTCTTGAGCTTGGCCCAAATTTCCTGACCCAGTAAATTTAGTATGTGGTCAGAGTATACACACCTTGCAAAATCAATCACAAAGATTTTGATGTAAGCTCTGGTGAGCAGCCACCTTAGATGTAACCAATACACAGCTATTCTTGTAGAACATTAACTAACTTTGGAGATCAAACAGAATGCTCATTTGCATATGCATTCCCCTCTTCTACCGGTGAGGTCAACCCAGGTCCTCTTCTCCACCACCAAACCACAGTTTCTGGGTGCTAAGAGTTGATCCTGACCCACCCCACCCCCAGGCCATTAGCCTCACTGCAGGTGTCCTCTGCTTTGCTGTCTGATGACCCAGCTAGAGATGACTCCCCTGCTTCAGTGGAAGCTTAGCAGTTGGGAGAGGATCCAGAGCTGCACTTGCCTCCAGGCAGGTAGCTGGCTTCTCAGAGCCTTTCTCTGCTGTGGGACCCTGAATGCTGCGAATATGTGTTTTTCTCACTAGTTGAAAATAAAGCTGCTTTGACCTATGGCAAGGCAGAACAGAGCCAGGCAGGAAATCCATGCAGAGCATGATAAGAAGGATAGAGTCTGGGGGACACCAGCCAGCCACGGAGGAAGAAGACATGTAAAAAATAAGGTAACAAACCAGGAACCACATGGCAAAGCATAGATAAAAAATATGGGTTAATTTTAATGTAAGAGCTAACTAGTAATAAGCCTGAGCTATCAACCAAGCAATATAAGTCTCTGAGTGATTATTTGAAAGTGACTGTGGGACTAGGCCGGACAGAAAAGCCTCTAGTTACATTTCTCTGCTCATCTATACATTGGCAGCCCAGGGTCTTGGTTTGTCCTTTGCTGAAAGTCTAATTTCCTGTCTGTGAAACATTGTAACATTCAGAAGTGGCCTAGTTAAGTATACACTAACCTTGTTTGTATACTAACCTTGCTTGAAATGTATGCCAACTTCACTGAGTGTGCATAGCTCTTCTGGCTATAGAAAAGTCTTGTATATAAGTTAATATTTTGCTATTGTAGTCTCCCTTGTCCTGGTGGACCCCTAGTTTACTCTGACTGGCATCACAATTGTCAAACCATATCTGCATTGCTTTTCTCAGGCATGTCTTGAAACCCAGGTGTGCAGAGCAGTGGGTCTATGAGTCTCTCTGCATCTCTTCCTTTACCTATATATCCTTCACCTCACAGATCAGCACCCAGTGGACCCCAGCACACAGGAGGTACTTCTTAGTACCTGTGAGCTCACAGTTCCAGCCTGAAGCCAGCATCATCTGATCTTATGTCAGCTTTCCTAAAAATACTATCTTAACTGCAAGTCAGTGAATTGTTAGGCATGGCTGCTACCTCTGGAAGCATATTCCTCACCAAGAGGGCTTAAAGTCATCCCATTTCTGCATTTACCACAGGAAAACAAAATTTACCTAAGGGACTCTGAAGAAAATTCCATTCCATATTTTAATGTCATAGTTGAGATTTGTAATTTCCTAATGGATTTATAATGGGAAAGAAATTACCCCTTAATTTAGTATTCTGGCCAGACACCAAATCCATCCTCATTTTGAGCTGAGCACTATGACCTCTGAGCTGCAGAGCCCCCATCTTCCTTTTGGACACTAAACTGAACACACTCAGTTTAGAGCTTGGAGACCCACTGGAGGTAACCAGTCAGAACCAAAGGGAGAAGCGCATGCGTCTTCCTCTCTAAAGCACATCATGGAATATTCAGCATGGGGCTGGCAAGATGGTTTAGCAAGCAAAGGTGCGAGTTCAATCCCTGAACCCACATGGTAGCAGGAGAAAACTGACTTCCACAGGCTGCCTCTGACTTCCGCATACACACACACACACACACACACACACACACACACACACACACACCATATATACACCACACATCTCTCTCTCTCTCTCTCTCTCTCTCTCACACACACACACACACACACCATATATACACCACACATCTCTCTCTCTCTCTCTCTCTGTCTCACACACACCACAAATAAATATATGTTAAAAAATAAATTCAGAGCCATGTGGTGGTGGCACACACCTTTAATCCCAGCACTTGGGAGGCAGAGGCAGGTGGATCTCTGTGAGTTCCAGGCCAGCCTGGTCTACAAAGCAAGTGAGTTCCAGGGCAGGCTCTAAATCTACAGAGAGAAACCCAGTCTCAAAAATAAATAAATAAATATTCAGGATGATACCAAGATGATAAAGGCCAGGTAGCCAACTGTCATTCTTCAGCTTGGGCTGTGATAACAGTACCACAGACAGAACAAACATTTATTTCTCACCATTCTGGAGGCTGGAAATCCAGGGTCAGAGTGAAAGCAGGACTGAATTCTGGTGAGGGCTCTTCCCCACTGGTGAATAGAACTTTCTTGTGTCCTCGTGTGGAGAGAGACAGAGAGAAAACAAGCTACTCCCTGATATTTCTTCATATGAGAACACTCATTCCATCATAGGACCCCAGCCTCCTGACTGTCCCTCTAAACCTAACTCCTTCCAAGGACTCCATCTTTAAACGCCATTAAAATGGGTGTTAGGGCTTCACCATAGGGATGTGAGGGGGTCACATTCAGTCCTTTACACTGCCAGGTGTCAGAGCAGGTGCCATGTCCCCACTGCGATAACTCAGCATTCTTGAAAGGGAGGCCAGCGCCACCCAGCCCCATGTGAGGGGGGAGGGAAAGGGGCAAGAGGGGAACGAGGTGCAGCAGCCAGGAGGCCAAAGGTACAAAACAGGGGCGCGCAACCTGTCTGGATTATATAGGTAAGAGCCTCTGGGGGAAGGGCAGGCCAGTCCCTGGGCTGGAGAGTTCAGTGTAAGGGGGCAGGGTGTGCCAGTCATACACTGTAACAGGTAGGGGTTGAGGAATGCTGGGAGAACCTGGCAACGGGTTCGATTTGATATGTTCAATAAACACCTCAGCTGTTTGTCCTGGAGGTTTAAAAGTTAGCAGAAATGAAACCCCCAGAAGAGCCTCGGAACTACATTGGAGATGGAGCAGCTGGGAGACTCGGAGCTCCAGCCCCAGCAAGGTGGGAATAGTCAGCTGGATAGAAGGGAAGAGTCAGCAGAAGGCTGGCACAGAGCACGGCCCACAAGAGGCAATGCATGAGGCCAGGAAGGCAGAGGTGGCCGTGAAACCGATCCTTGAGGGTCTGACGAGGCAAAAGTGTGGGCAAAGACAGAGCTCCTGGAATAGGCCCACTGAGGACACAGCCCCTGGTCCCAAGGATAAGAGGAAATAAAGGTCTTGGGGGGTTTCAGGCAGGACAGCAGCTTGTTCAGGTGGCCTGGTGACAACCTTCTTCCTAAGATCTAGTCTTCTACCCAGAAGCACAGCTCCACTCACATCACGTCTTCCTTGTCCAAGATAGCCCCTGCTCTGGCTTTCCAAAGCCCTTACCCTCTCCACCATGACCTTCATAGCCCCCATGGGCAGGCCAGTGGTCAGTCATCCTCCACCTCCACCCCCAGTGCTCAGTGACACTACTGAGGCTTTTGGTCCCGGGGCAGCTGGTGGAACTGACGGCTTTGGTGGTAGAGACCAAAGGCTACATTATGACCAAGAATCCTTTGAAAGAAACTGTGTTTGCCAATCTGACTCACTGACTCAAACCTGGATGACTGGAGAAGTTGGAATGTGGCAGGTCCAGAGTCTAATTACAATTTATCTTTTGCTATCACTGGCCAGTTATGAGCCATTCCTTGTCCACCTCTGTGTCAGACCTAAAACATCTTAATAAAAATCATTGGAATATATTAGTTTAACAAAAACCTCATTCTCCACCAACCAAAGGGCTAGGAATGCTTGCTGTCAGATAGCATCTGAGACCTGGACCTGAGACTTCTCCACCTGGCTGGAACCCTACCTCTCTGGTGTTCCCACCAATGCAGACAGGCATCTGCAGAAGCAGGACTATTCCTTAGTCAGAACAGCAGGAGGGCCGCCGTTTCTCCTGGGAGTGGAGACTGCATAGCAGGGTTAGTATGTTTTGATTTATGATCTTTATTCTGTTACTTATAAAAACTGCATGAAACGTCTTCCACATTGGAGCATGGAATTTGGAGGTAACTAATCTATTTCTGGGTCCTAATCACTCAAATGTAGCTTCAGCATAAGCTACCTCTTCCTCCCTTGGAGGTGAGAGCTGTGTTTTGTGTTGACAGGGTCATCAGATTTCCAGAGGGTGGGGCCTCAACACGATGTGTCCTGTGAGTCAGGTGTGGGGAAACAGTTGGGATGGAGGCCTGGAGCTAGAGTGCCGGCCCTCCTACCCAGTGCCTGCTGAGTGACGGAATACTAACCCTCAAACCGAGGAAACTTCGTGAAACAAGCATCAAGGGAACTATGAGCTCGCTCGAGCCTACCCCCCACCCCACCTCCTACCCCCTCACCCCACACCTCCCCACCAAGTTCCCAGTAATAGGACCTCCCTAATGACCCTGCTGTGTGACTTTGGATGGGTCACATTTCCCTTGAGGAAGGTGCCCTCATCTGTAAATTGAGACTGAATGAGACACTCCACAACACTTTTGCAATAAGGTCCCCACCCACTCGCCAGGGCCTTAGCACAGCCCCGGAAACCAACAAAAATGAGCTCTTCCGGTTTTGTGTTCACCCTGCTAACCACTGGTTCTGCAGAGATCTCCAGTGATGATGTGTCTCCCCTTTTCATGCTTCATCACCAGATGATTCTTCACTCCTAGTTACCCCAAGAGGCCCAGCCTGTGGGGGGGGGGTGGAGCCAGGTAAAGCAGCCTAGGAAAGGAGCCACATTCCTTCCATCTCCCAAGGGATCAAAGGTCCAAGCCTGTGGCCTGTCAATACTGAGCCTCTCCTGGGGCACTGACTCCACCCACCCGGACCATGTATAATTGACGAGCCTTCCTTCTCCCCATGTGGAGCCCAAGCTGGTGCAACCATAATGCATGATGTTAAAAGCTTCCTGGGAAGCCACTGCAAGAGGGGTAATTAACGTAATAAAGGGCTTTCTAATCTTGCTTCTTGTTGCAACGGCCATTCGCTACAAATCCTCCTGAGAGGCTTCCAGAAGCACCCAGGCCTTTAGCACCTTCCCCTTGGCGGGGGGGGGGGACGGGACGGGACGACGGGGGGGGGACGGGGACGGACGGACGGACGGACGGGACAGCGCCACATCATAAAGCCAGTCCTGTACGCCCTGTTAGATCAGGATTGATGGAGTGACGTGGAAATAAAAGAAGGCAGACAGGAATCTCCAGAAGCGGAATTGTTCTTTATTCAGAGCGACTGAAGGGCTGCAGTCTCCCGTCAGAGAGGGGACTGTGCAGTGGGGTTGGAGCGTGGATCTCCTCGTCAGAAGCTTCCAGTGGTGTTGTCAGTCGAGTCAACTTTCCTGTCCACGGCTTCTCAGTCCACTGAGGCTTTAGGTCATTGCTCATTAACCCTTCACACCCGGATTACAGACTGAGAGAGCTGAGCCATGTTTCCTAGACACCACTCTTTTTAGAACAGCATACCTCTAGTCTCCCGAAGGGCATTGTGGCAGAGCGGGGCAGAAGGGGCCGGGGGAGGGGGGTGTCTCGGCTGAAAGATGGAAGGCTCTGTGGGCCAGCTGCTCCCATGCAGGGCCTCCCAGCAGGCCGGAGAAGCAGGTGGGCAGCAGCTGTGGTTTCACCAGTGAGCCTCGGAGAGGTGCTAAGCACAAGCTATCTCATATATGGGTGCAGA